TATTTGTTACTCTTAATTTTGGTTTTATTTACTCTTGAAACAGAACACTTTCGGGGATCCTGTGGAAGGTAATATAAAAATATTTGTTACTCTTAATTTTGGTTTTATTTACTCTTGAAACAGAACACTTTCGGGGATCCTGTGGAAGGTAATATAAAAATATTTGTCTTTAAACTGAAAGATTACAATAAACATTATATAAGACGGAAGCAATACAGGAACTACACAACAAGAAACTGTATCTGTGGGTTAAAGTCTTCTGAAGATGAATCACTGAATTACCATTGAATAGGGACAAGTCCATATATGGTATGAGTTTAAAAAACTGCTGGAAAATGAGCCCGGAAGAAGTAAAAGAAGTTATGTTTTTCAGGTTTTTTTCTTCTTCTCCTGTCTTCAGTTATGGCCTAAATTCTTCAATTTTGTTAAGCCAATCAAGTCTCTAAACTTAGTGAATGTCACGTTTGTACTTCCTATAAGATGTACTTGCATGATATATTAAACACCCCTAGTGGTACAAATTAGTGACTTTTTTTTTAACATCACGAGCTGGCGTCGTCTGTGTTTCATATTTGCTGTCAGCTTTTCACGTTTCTCAAAACACCCTTCTGTTCGTTTAATAACAATAAGTGTTTCTTGATTTGAGCGTATTTTTGTTTAGCCATTTATTTTTTAAAATAAATATAATATCGTATTTTCAGGATATTTAATGTTAGTAAAAAATAACTATTTAAATTCTCGATATAAGATAATGTTCTTGGTGTAGCGCGAAGAAGATTAAAATACCATACATTACAAATATTTTAGCTTCATATATATATATATATACTTTACATGTATATGTTGGTGTTACGTTTTTTGTGTGTGATTGCGTGTGTGTGTGTACAATTAAATAAAGGAAATATGACATTGCGACAAATAGATTGATGTACATACTTACATAACCTTCCACATTGTTTTCCAGCATATAAACATCCTAATGGATGTGTTAAAACCATTAGCCATCCGGATAGTACAGAGGCTGAGTACGTTAAATTAAAACTATTTTGGAGCCTCACCACGATGTTACAGTCTATGTAGTCAAGTCCCGTCATGCTCTGTCTGATGGCTATGCACTTTGATAATAGCAATCCTGCAGCGTAGTTTCCATTATCAATGGATGTCATGTCTCAAGCACATCACTCCTCCCTGCTTGGTTTTCATAAGCCATCTAATGTACAAGGATAACGGTTTCCCAGCGCCCGTTTCAACAATCTGATCAAACACAAATTCATGTGCTGTTACAAGTTTCTTTTTCGATGATCTTGTTGTCCCAAGTTGATCCATATTTCTTGTTTTACCAATACCATTAAGTCTTGTAAATTCTAAGATATATGTATGATCTGAGTGTATGAATATTTTGCGTAGGAAAGGACGGTTACATACGATTTGCTAATGCGATAAATTTTCGGTGGTATCGCACTATCTACAAAACGGCAAACAATGTCAAAATATAGTTCCAGTACTTCAGTTCCACTAAGACTTTATATTGGCTGTGGTTGTCACATGATTTGCCTATTCTAAATCGTTTTAATAGAACGTACCCAACACTGTGTAATCTAATCGATTCGTATATTTTATTTTCAGAAGGTGTCTTCCATGACATCTAGTTATTAATACGGATACATCGTAGTAATATCCCATTACTGTACAGAGGATACATACTCATATATACAAAATATATTTTGGAATGCTTTTCTGTTATGTGGTTGTTATTACAGTTGAAAAACATTAATGTTACTACAATATTTCATTATTCATTATAGTGTTTTTCCTTTCTTTTGAGGGATCTGAAATGCTTTAGATGCATATTTATGTGTGCGTTAATAAGTCGTATTCGTTTCTCATTGTTCTCGCGTTACATTTAAGTCCTGAAGTAAAAAAAACAAATTTGAATTACAAAGTAATCTGTATAGACTCTCATGTCAGCTTGACCAAAGTTAGGGATCGTTTTACAACCATATAATTTGAAGTGGGTCCTGCTTTGTAAGATTACATTGTTAAAAACAAAGTTTAGAAATGGATACGTGGTATCATTCCGTAGAATTTGTGCTGTTCTATTCATCATATCCAGTAACATTTGCTGATTTTATAGAAATTTTCTTATCACTTGGGAAGTATTGAATTTCGTGACAAGGTCTGTAAATCTCTTGAACGTGAAAGATTCACATGAATGAGTTGTGATCAGTACAATGAGTAAAAACTTTCGTGTTACTAGGCATTGGTACACTCTAAATACAATTTTCCCATGCTCTTTAAGGTTTTGTAACATTTATGTTATAATTCTTGGGAAAACATTATAATACGGTGCTTAAGCCTGCTAAATTACTTTTAAATGTCTTAAATAAATACAGCGTTTGTTACTGTTGGCATTATGTGATCACGAAAGATGTTTGGTAGTTCAATAGTCTGAAATCCTACAGTATGCATTTTGGTTTGCGTTTTGTTTCAGTTATAATTTAGGGCAATGATAATTTGAATTGAAGTTCCTAAAATATACATATTACACTTTATTTTGTCCAAAATTGTTGTTACTGAAAAGTTTCTTTAATTTTATTAGAGAAGAGAAGTAAAGAGTGCTTTAAAACTTGAGAGACAGTCAATCAGTATTTGAATAATGTCTACGTAGTCTACAGTTAAAAGAGTCACAAAAGAATCCATGGATCGTCCGTTCCCGCAAAGAAGAGTGTAATAAAAACCCAACTCGAAACACATTTAACACAGAAAAAATCGGAACATCCAATAGCACAGTGAATGGAACAAGGAAAAAAATATACGAGTTTATCCGTTAGCACAATGAGTAAAAAAATATCATTTTTCGTTCAATACATGCTTTCAGTTTCAAATTTTATTGAGAAACGAAGTAAAAATGGTTAACACTACATGTGGGTTTGTTTGGTTTGAATTTCGCGCAAAGCTATA